AAATAAAAATAGAAGGCCTAGGTCTAGGCTGGGAATTGTCTATTTACATGAACATAAGAGACTTGGCTTCCATTTATAAATATTAGGTCTATAAACATTATTTGTTGTTAAGTTGTTTTGTGATACATTTTTAAAACTAGTAATGTTTTATTCAAACTGGTAAATATTTTCAAAGCCCCCCTTCTTTCGTCTCTCTGTATTTTTGCAAAGCCCCCCCCCCCTTCAGGTTTTAAAAAATTTAAAGCCCCCCCCAGTTTCTCCTCAATCCCCCCTGTACAATAAATAATGAGCGGTCTCTTACTATGTCTCTGATAATCCACAACATTCGATTTCTGGCGAACAAATACTGGTGGAAATTCTCGATGTATACTATGAGTGAACCAAGCGAGGCGTGGAAGGCAGCCAAGATACAGCGTCGATCCGCAAAGGCTGCGTTGACAAGGCTGGGAAAAGCGCTGAATCATCTGTGCGAGAACGAACAATCGGCTGAAGAGGTAAGCGATTATCTCATTAAACTAAAACAAGCCTTTGATAACGTGGTCTCAAAACACGAACTATATGCCAATTTAATTGACCAAGATGAACAGTTTTTTAAAACTTGACATCGATGCAAAGTGTTATATAGAAAATGTTTCTGCGAAAATTAGCAAAAGTAGCCTTGAGAAAAACCCGCAAAATTCCTCAGGAATGATTGGAATGCAAAACACACCGAGCGAAAGTAATACGATGAAAACAATATGATTGACATTTCGACGCCCCAGGAAAATCCTAGCATTAACGAGGAAATTTCTATCGAATCGGTCAACAGTCCACCTGAGTTTCTCCAAAATAATCTCGAAGCAAGCCAAAGCGCGTCCCAACCAGAAGTTATTAATGAAGCAGGACCTGCTATAAATTCAACCCCATGTGGTTTCCAAATGGAAAAACCAAAATTGCCAAAATGTTATGGTGACATGCGAGAATATGCAATTTTTCACGCAGATTTCAAGCACGCGATCGAATCAAGGTATTCGAAAAGAGACGCGATAACAATGCTACGTACTTGTCTGAAAAAAAGCGCTTGAGCTAATAAAGGGGATTGGTTCAGATTATGACGCGGGATGGGAATATTTATATTCAATATATGGGGACCGGCGGTTTGTTTCTGACACTATCACTCAGGACATAGCAAAATTTAAACCGTTAGAAGAAGGGAGAAGATGTGCGGTTTTGCAACCTTGTTCATTTGGTAAGACGTAGCTATAACACGCTAAAGGAAGTTGTGCTAACAATAATTGAACAAAAGATATGCCCAGATGATCGGAAAGTGTGGTCAAGAGATTTAGAAAGAGAGCGAAAACCAGCCACGCTGAATGCCTTGATGACGTGGATGACGAGCGAGATGAAGTCGCGCATGCGTGCGACAGCTCCAGTTAGAAGTGGTTTAACAAATCGACGCAAAATCAATCACTTGCACGGCGAAATCGAAGGCGGTAATAAGAGCAGAAACAAGTGTCGACTGTGCAACAACTCAAATCATTGGCCGGACCAGTGTCAAAAGTTTGCAGCAACGAGTGTCGAAGAGCGACTCGTGGCGGCGAAAGAGAATCACGTTTGTTTCAGCTGCTTAAAGAAAGCGGGTCGAGATCATCGTCAAGCAAACTACATGAAGTCGGCGAAAACAATGCAACAAAGTTGAGAGCGGAAACCAGTGTACCTTCAGCCACCATCCTTTGCTACATAAATCGAGCACAGTGGGTGTCACTTTAGCATCTGTAACCAGCCAGAAAGATTCCATGTTGCCAGTGATCGCTGCCAACATCTGCGGTCCAAGCGGGTTGTACAAGCGTGGAAACATCCTTCTGGATTCAGGAGCGCAGATAAGTTTAATACGGGGCGAGACAGCAGACAGTCTCGGACTGAAAGGGAGAGACATCTCAGTGAACGTAATCAAAGTAGGTGGAGAAGAGGAATCAATTCATACGGAAATTTACAAAGTACCAGTAAGCGAGCGGAATCGGTGACCCAAAGAAACATTCTGTGAGAGCAATTGGTATTCCATGTATTAGCGAGGAAGTTAAAAGTGTTCAAACCGGCACTATCATTGTCCATTGAGAAACTTAGCCTACCAAAAGATCAAGTAGTCAGACGAGGCAAAGGACATGTCAATCTGCTCATCGGGATTGATCATGCACACATGCATACCGGTCAAACAAAGCAAGCCGACCACCTAGTCACCAGAAGATTCCCATTGGGATGGGTCATATTCGGTTCGACAACGGGAGAATTAAGCGACACAATCACCACTGTCCTACACGTGAAATATACAGCACCGGTACGTTGATTTGTCGGATATTTGCAAGACCGAAACCATGGGTGTGGAAGCTAAGCCTTGCACTTGTGACGCAGATAAGCTGAGCCAATTGGAAAGAGAAGAAAGTGAGTGATAGAAGAGTCTACTCAAAAGATTGGAATTCAGTGGATGATCCCATATCCATGAAAGAAAGACCCCCAGGACTTGCCAGACAGTAAGAATTAAGCCATGAAACGCTTGGAGTCAACGGAACGTCGGTTATTAAAGAATCCTGAGCAAGCTGCTGCGTATAACAGTAAGATGGTAGAGATGAAAGAAATTAACTTCTCTCGTAAGTTGTCAGATGAAGAGATACAAGTTTATAAAGGACCAGTCCACTACATCTCACACCATGCCGTATTAAGACCTGACAACACAAGCACTCCAGTCCGCATCGTATTTAATTCATCTTCTACGTACCAAAGACGTCGACTCAATGACTATTGGAAGAAGGGTCCCGATTTTCTAAATGGTTTATTCGGAGTTATTCTTTGGTTTAGAGAGAATAAATTTGCAATCACTGCTGACATCTCAAAGATGTACCACAGAATCCTTATCCTCCCGGAAGACCAACATGTACACCGATTCCTTTGGAGGGATTTAGAGGTCGATCGACCACCGAACACTTATGTCATGAATTTACTCACATTTGGTGACAAGCCCACACCAGCGATGGCGCAAGTTGCGTTACGAAAAACGGCGGAAGAAGGAGAATCGGAGAGTCCGAGAGCAGCAAAAGTTATCAGGGACAATTCATACATGGATGATATCCTCGATTCAATTTCCACGAACCAAGAAGCCAGAGAGTTGACAACTGCGATTGATTGCATCCTCGAGAAAGGCGGATTCCAGGTAAAGGGATGAACCTTATAGCAACTTATACAACGAAGAGCTGAACCAAACTAGCAAACAGAAAAATGAAGAAGAGATCAATGTTCCTCAAAGTAAACAAGACGCAAAAGTGCTCGGCGTAATTTGGAATAATAAAGATGATGTGCTCGAGTACAAAGTGAAAGTCAAGGTGACCATGACCCAAAAGCCAAAGCTCACCAAGAGAAGTATCCTTAGCCAAGTCGCCCGAATATATGACCCAATAGGCTTTGCAACACCGTATCTGGTAAGGGCAAAGATTGGTTTGCAAGAGTTATGGCAGGAGGAACTTGACTGGGATGATGAACTGTCACCGAATGTTCAAAGAAAGTGGCTATCATACATGGAAGAAATGGAGCAGCTGAACAACATATCGTTAGAAAGATGTATATGTCCAATCATCACCCGTGAACCACCGACCTTGTGCGTTTTTGCTGACGCTTCGAGCGGAGCCTTTGGGGCATGTGCGTATCTCAGAAGCGAAGATCCCACTGGATCAGTTCATGTAAGATTCATTGCAGCTAAAACGAGTAGCCCCATTGAAGGAACTGGCTATTCCGCGGCTAGAACTCCAGGCAGCGGTGTTAGTCAGCAGGTTGTGCAAAACCATGGAGAAAGAAGTTTGCATCCCGCTTCAAGAAAGTATATTGTTCACCGATAGTACGATTACCTTAGCGTGGATCCGTAGTAAAGGGAAAATGCTCAAACCATTTGTTTCAAGTCGTGTCGGGGAAATACAGAGCAACGTACAACCTGTTCAATGGAAACACATCCCTACCGAGCATAATGTTGCAGACGATGTATCACGAGGTTTATCGGTTGCTGAATTATCAGGGAGGTGGAAGAACTGTCCGGCGTTCCTGCACCTACAGAAAGAAGAATGGCCAATAGAGAGCGCGAACGTTGACCAGGATTAAGTCGAAAGAAAATACAAGAAGACACAAGCATTAGGAACTGTGACATCGAAAGAAACAGCTAAGATGGGCGTGATGTAATATTTCAAAACCGACTATGAGGACTGGACTAAATTTCAAGTCCGCGCAATTTCATCAAGTCCGAGGAGAAGCCGAGGACTGGATCAAAATGCGAGGACTTGAAATCTAGTCCAGTCTGAATTGGAGGATTTGAAATGGTATCTCATGCGAATAAATCACTATTTAATTAATTTTGATCCAGTCCAAGGACTGAATTAATTTTGATCTAGTCCTAGGACTGGATCAATGTACTTCATCAGGTATCCAGTATTATCATGTGAGCAAAATAAAGCAATATGGCTGGCTAATTTACTCATGAATTATTAATGAGCTTGAGATCGATTGCGAAAGGTTCTTTGCAATACGTGGATATCCCGCCGAGATTTTAAGTGACAATGGCACTCAGTTTGTGGGTGCATTAACCGACTTTCGCCAAATGATCCAAAGAGTTGACAAGAAGGTACTGAAAGACTATTGTGCAGAACGAGGAGTACAGTTGAAGTTTATAACCCCGGCGGTACCACATCAGAACGGATGTGCAGAGGCGTTAGTGAAAAGCTGCAAATTGGCCCTAAAGAAAGCAGTTGGTAAGCATGTACTTGCTCCTTTCGAACTGTATACTTGCTTGCTAGAGGTGCCAAACCTTGTCAATCAAAGACCAATCGGAAGACCACCGAATGATCCAGACGATGGTTCCTATCTATGTCCGAATGATATTCTATTGGGCAGAGCAACTCCACAAGTACCACAAGGTCCATTTCAGGAAACAAAAAATCCAAGAAAAAGAGTCGAGTTTATCCAAAAAATTGTTGAGTCATTCTGGAGACGATGGACAAGGGACGTATTCCCACTACTGTTGCCAAGAAGAAAATGGAACGCAGAGACACGAAATGTACAGGTTGATGATGTAGTAATCGTAGCGGGCGGAAATGCAGTACGAGGAAAGTGGAATGTCGGACGCGTAGTTAAAATGTATCCAGGACAAGACGATAAAGTTAGAAACATCAAGGTAAAAACGGCGTCGGGAGAGTACTCGAGACCCGTGACCAAGATCGCAGTGATCCAGCCGGTAGAAGACGCAGAAGAAAAGAATTGATAAGAACATAGTCCTTATGGAGGCGGAGGATGTGTCGCTGACAGAACTTTATATATTTTACGAGATAATTATTAACTGATTAAATATGACTAATGAGATTAACCTGATTGACACGTAATTTGACGCACATTTATTTAGATAGATTGAGACAAAGACTTTTAGTAGTGTTAAATGAAGGAGATATGCTAACCTGTGTTGAAGCCAACCTGTATTGTATTTGTATTTGTATTTGTATTTGTATTTGTATTGAGTGTATCAGTAAGACTAGATTGCGAAGACCTGGCAAAGAAGTAAGTCTCATTTATTGAAATTATACTAAGTTCTTTGTATGTTTGCATGGCGATAAAATATAATGGGTTTTATTTGTGGAAACACCACGTAAGTTTATTACTGCAATTAAATGATTAACATGAGATTAATTGAGATTGAGATTGATTCATTATGATCTATAATTATTAAATATTAATATTGTGTTATTATTATTATATTAATTAATATTCTTATTATTTAATGATTATTATTTGAAATTATACTGTATATAACTCGAAGAGAGCGCACAGGTATATATCAGGCACTATTTGTTATTCTATACTTTACAATTATTATTCCTTATAATTACTAGATCGAATAAAAACCTACCAATATTCATTGATTTATACGGTTCCGTGTCTCGCGCTCTAACGAGAAGTTTAGTTACTCCGATTATCCAGCATTCATTGTAGTTTGTACTGATAGAAATTTTGGTTCAGGTTTACCGCATATACATCCATTGGTATGTCTCTTCAGAACTAGGTAAATCCGAGGTAACAACTGCATTTGCTTTATCTCATATTTAAATTGTTTAGCATTTCGGTCCACACTATAAAACCATATTGCAAGATTAAGGTGGCTCCCTACAGTTATAGTAAACTAAACTGATATTTATATAGATCAGACGTCATCCTCGTAACCCACGCGTGAAATCTTCGTGGCCCGGTAGAAATCTTGAAACAAGCCGCGGGAAGTTGTTTTTGAGTTTTATTTTGTCCACAAAGAAAACGCCAGTTTTTCATTGTAATCCTAAATTTTTCAAAATTCAAATAGTATGTATGTTGTTAACAAGTTTTTAACTTATCTTATAGTGTGTTTTTAAGTATTACATTTAATAGTTGTGGACTGAAATGATATTTTATTACTATTTCAAGGCACTCTTGAACTGCCACCGAAACCGATGCAAGTCTTGTCATTCGAATCAATTGACATGTGCTGTTTTATTTGCTGAATGTAATAAAACTTTAGTGCAGACAGTTACGAGATGGTTGATGTGAAAAAAAATTCTAGTTGAATGTTTAAAAAAGTTTTCACACCGATTTTTTCGACAGAAACAAATTTATGAAACGCTGGATTAATTCAGTGTTGTTTGTGGTGTTACTCTTAGTGTGCATCCACACCGGGCAGGCTAAAAGTTGCATGACCACGGTGGGAATCGAACACTCGACCTTTGGGATACTCAGGGACGCCGGAACGATGTGAAGGCAAGGGGGCAGATTTTCGTGAAAGGGAACTTCGGGAGTTGAACTTCGCCTAATCGTGTTTTCTATTTATTGGATGATAGGGGAATGATGGGGTTCTCCGCCAGGCGATTGCGCTATTCTTGAAGCTCGATGACTGCATTTCTTGCGTTTTCTGAAGCAAATTCGTAAAAGAATTGCACTAACATTTCTGAAATTCGCTATTTCGCCAAGGCAATTCTTTAAATTAAAAGGGCACCTTTGCCCCCCTTGCCCCTCCTGGTAAAGGGAAACGGGGGCGGCTGCCCCTCCTGCCCCCCAGTTCCGGCGTCCATGGGGATACTAGTTCAATGCTCTACCAACTGAGCTACGAGGTCATGATCAAGTCGGTTCGAGTTGGTGATATCTCGGAACTGAGTCTAGTTCCTTCGACATCAATGTGTTATAAGATATATACTAGAAAATACATGCATGCAGAAACCTTCGCCTTGCTTACAAAACCATTGTATTTTCCGAACATGAAGTATCTAAAGTAGTTGTCATGGTAACACGATAATTTTTTAAGAATATTCAATATTCTTACAAATGAAAAATCGCCTGAAAATATCACTTTTAACTACAAAATTATTCATTTCCCAACATATATATGTTAGATATGTTATTATACGTAATATAAGCCTCAATTTAAGGTAAAATTCAACAACAAACGCTTCGCAAAACGTTTTAAAGTCACTAGTGTTCTTTATATTAAAACTAATCTGCCTTTTAAAATGGCTTTATCGATAAACTTTGAGTTTGCAATAAAACGATTGCAAATTTTCGCTTGCAAATAACTTTGCTTTCTTTTTTATTTAAAAAATTTGAATATCATAAAAAAGGCAATCAATATTAAAGATACAATGAAATTTAAATATATGCTGTCTTGTTAGTTATTTCATACGCAAAGGCCGTCGGGTTTTAAAGCCATTATAAAATCAATATTTAAAACAAACTTACCTTCGTTAACGTCGGCTTCCATCTTTTAGCCGATTCTTTCACAGTTTCTAGTGAGAGAGCTTTTGAAATTTACAAAATCTTGCCAAAATGCGAGCAAAAATGAAATATATTTGCAAGAAATTTATCAATCATCAAATCAAGAAATGTTTGCTATTTCGCTGTCGTCATGCAGTCGTTATAATGCAAACTTTAAATTGGACCAATCAGTGTCCGCTATTCATGACAGTCCGCCATATTTTTGAGATCAGTGAGGATGACCACCCACCGAAACATCGTTGGTGAGCCACGCCCGCGATATTTGATGAACTTTAGACTTCGCTAATGCTTTCGTTTCCCCGGGTGTAAATAGCCGGGGGGAATTAGTACCCTCGCACGGCGCTTCGCGCCGCCGGCTCGGGGATGATACTTTTTGTGTGTGTTGGTGTTATGTACTCGGGTGAATATGATGTTTGTGGTGTTACTCTGAGTGTGCATCCACACCGGGCAGGCTGAAAAGTTTACCAGTCCACGGTGGGAATCGAACCCGCGACCTTTGGGATACTAGTATTGATATCAAAGGAACCTGACTCAGTTCCGAAATATCACCAACTCGAACCGACTTGACCTCATTGCTCAGTTGGTAGTTCATTCGTCACTCTAAAAACAATGAACAGAGAAGCAAGTGATGTAAGTTTTTGGTGGGACTTAATTAGGGACTCGCGTCTTGTTGTCCTTACCATCAGCCATTTGATTGTAAAGTTAATAAAAAAAATTAAAAAAAGCAACATGAAAGATTCCTTTAATTAAACAATTAATTAATTGGTGGTGGCAAAAAGTTAGACAAACAAGCTACAACTATCCATACATAGTTCATCCGGTGTAATATCTATGCATGTAATGTGCTAGGGATAAAAAAATATTTAATGTGCCAATTTTTAATCTCTCCATACGTCGTTCAACATAAATTCGTAAACTTACCATCTTCTTATTATGTTCAGTTTCACTCTTCGAAAATTGTTTCTTTTTGAGCTGAAAACGCTTGGGATAACAAACCTAGCACCAACAGAAGCTAGATCATCCTGGATAGTAAATCCCTTGTCTGCCATAAGAAAATCCCATCTATTTAAATGTTTCATGTAATCTGACTTCTGTACAATTTCAGGATCACTGATAGATCCACTATATAAATCATTAACAAATGATATTACACCATTTGATGTAATTCCAACAAGACCTTTCATTGTGTGATGTGATATATAATGAGAGTAGCAGGAAGACTGGTTATTCAAAACAGAAAGACACAGGCAGTAAATTATTGAAACCAATTCGGAATAAAATTGCTTGAAAACAGGTGTCATACAGATACAGATACAGATACAGATATTTCACAGCACACTCCCTATCAGGGCTTTTTAGTGACTGGTTACATTGTGAATAGATAGATAGAACCGGACTGGCGTGAAGCAGACCGAGGTAGACTTTGAGCTTACAAATGGCGCTTGAGCAGCCGCTATTAGCCCATACCTCATTAATGATCTGCCTCCTGACCTATGTGCCTAACCCAACCTATCAACTTTCCCTGTGGGAGGAAACTGGAGTACCCGGAGAAAACCCACGACTTTCAGCAGAGCGTTGACTCTTTACTCTTTTCACATGAGGATCTGGGTTCGAGTCACATTGAGAAGTTCTCACTGAGGCTCGAAACAGCTACTTTAGAGGTGAAAGGCAAGTGCGCTAA